TTTGGTTTAAATAAAAAATATGTTTAAAATTTTGTTTAATTAAAGATTAAAGGTGGATTGTGATAAATAATTTAAAATTAAGCATAACTTATGTTTGAATTAAATATATCATTTCTTTAAATGAAAAAAAAATATATTTCAATCAAACATAAATATGTGGAACTGCACAGCAAAGATTTTTTAAACTTTATTTAACCAAAATGAGTTTGAATCAAATAAATCGTTTCCTTAGTATACACAAGCTTATTTAATATATATTTACATTATACAACAGTATGAAGATCAAATGTTTTAAAAGTAACTTCAGATTGGTAATTAATGACCCCAAAAACCTCCGGGTAACAAGTTTTAAGCAAATTTAATCAAATAAAAAAATGTTATCCGACATATTGTATCCGACATTTTTAATTTCTGAAAAGTGACTTCAGATTCGTAATCAGCGACCCAAAAAACCCCCGAGTAACAAGTTTTGAGCGAATCTGGTCAAATTTGAAAAAAAAATTCAGCCATATTGGATCCGCCATTTTGAATTTTTAAATAGTGACTTCAGATTCGTAATCAGTGACCCCAGAATTTGCGGTCCGTAGCCTGCTTTTATTAGAAATACTCGTATTCACATGGCCCTTTCTGGACAAAGGTAAGAGAAAATACGGAAAACCTGTAACTGAGTACAGCCGATTTATCGACAGCCGAGTCTTGGATGTATAAATTCGAAGTCTCGAATATTACACAACCAAGTCCTCGACGTTCAAATCTCCCGCTCAGATTATCTCACGTGCCGGAAAAATCCCAGGCTAATGGGCGCGAACCAAGTACCCTTGGTTCTACAGCGTTCGCCGAGCGAGGCATTTATCCGACTGAGCTAATCTGTCGGTAAACGAATCTGATCAAATTTAAAATGTAGTCCACCATAAATTACACGGTAAGTGTAATCTCAAATTGAAATCTGATTCCTCACCTTAACCGATTAATTAGTCATTCATTTACAAATCAATGTCATTATCTGTCTATTAATGTAGTGTTGTTAGTACATTTGACAAAGAAAGACTGATTATATAATTTATATTTAAAAAAAAATGGAAAACGAATCTGTGACGCGCGTGGTAGTAAATGAGAGTAATTATCTCGAAAAACTGAAGCAAAACTACCAAAAAAAAACGAATAAAAAACCATATGGACGTGCAGAAATAAACAACATGATTAGTGAAATTGAGTTGGCAAAGAATAAACTGAAAGTAATCTGTAAAACCATCATTTAAATGTAAATAAAAAAAATTTAATTTTTTATAATAAAGAAAATTAAAATAAATTAAAAAATTTTTATATTCAAAAAATTAAATAAAAAAAATTTGAAATTAAGGTAAATATTATTGTCACTGACTTGTGAATAAGTTATTGTTACGTGCATAAATAATTTTTGTTTTCATTTCCAATGAACACATTGTTAGAAATATAACAGTGAACAAAATTCAAATTAAATTAAAAATAAATTCAAATTAAAATAAAATTTATCATTAATTCATTTATTGATTTTGCAAATAGTTTTCATATAAAATATTATTTATTATGTATTTTATTTTTTTATATTTTGTAATCCTGTATAAATTGTTAAATAAATAAATATTTTTAATTATTATAAAAATTATTAATATTTATTATATTTATTTATTTATTAATATTTTTCATTTATTAATATTTTTTTATTTTATTTTATCATAGGATAAATTTTATTTTAATTTGAATATTTTATAAATAAATATTAAATAATAATATTTATTTATTTATTTTTTTTTTTATATTCAAATACATATTATTTTGTTACAGCAAAACGAAAAATCGACGTGATTATCATCTTCTGAGCAAATACGACATTTTGACAATTGGAAGCAAATCACATTTGATTAGAAAAAGTGACGACTTACAAAATGTTGAGTATATTGTGCCCTATACGAAGATTTATACGAAATTATTAATGATTATCATGTGAACAAGACAGGACACGGCGGAAGAAGTAAAATGGAAAAGGCTTTTTTTTAAAATTCAATATTCCTCGACCAGCAATTGAATGTTTTTTAGAATGTTGCAAAACTTGGAATGAGAAAAAAACTTTATCGAAAAAAATTGTCGTCAATCCTATTTTATCAAGTGACTTTGCTGAGCGGGGGCAAATTGATTTAATAGATTTTCAGTCATCGCCATGTGGGGAGTACAAATGGATACTAAATTATCAGGACCATTCGACAAAGTTTGTTGTTTTGCGTCCGCTCACATCCAAACGTACCCAAGAAGTAGCCTCTCAACTGTTGGATATATTCCTTTTATTTGGTGCACCAAAGATTTTGCAGAGCGACAATGGGCGGGAATTCGTTAATCATGTAATTGAAGATTTACGCAATATGTGGCCCGAATCAATTACAATTAATAGACGTTCCAGACACCCACAAAGTCAAGGGAGCATCGAACGATCAAATCAAGCCGTAGAAAATATGCTTCGCGCTTGGATGGCGGACACAGGAAGCCGAAATTGGTCAGTGGGCTTACGATTCGTCCAGTGGCAGAAAAATTCTTCTCACCACAGAACAATTGGTCGCTCACCCTATAAAGCGCTCTTTGGTTTCGACCCCAAATTAGAACTTGCATCCACTCAATTACCGCAGTCTCTATCAAAAACTATTCAGAATGAAGAAGATTATAAAAAAATCCTACGTGAACTCGAATGCAGTAAGTTGTTTTTTAATTTTTCAATTACAATTTTATTTTTTAATTTAATTTTTCATTTTTCATTTTTAGACGCTGGAAATATTGATGCTTTGAATCTAGACACTGAGAACATCGGTAATGAGAATATCATTGAGAATAGCAGTCCTGAGATCATCACTCCTGAGAATAACACTCCTGAGAATAATACTCCTGACAATAATGCTCCTGAAATAGTATATTACATTATAAGGGCAGAAAGTTCGAATTCCGGCACTGTGCGAAATGATGCCCGAGGCGAAGCCGAGGGCATCATCGCACTGTGAAGGGCTTCGAAATTTCTGCCCGTGTAATGTATACTATTTTTCTTTATATACGGTCGAAAGTACGCCCGTTAATTTATTTTTTAAGAAAATTGCAATCGTGATTAATTTGACAGCCGGTCATCTTTATTTACTTTCGCTCCCCGCTTCAACGCCTTTAGCGGACGCTCGTAAAGCTTTGGTTTTTTCTCTGCACTCTAAAAAATTTCGTTGTTAATTTACAACGTCGGACGTTGGAAATAATTTGCTTCACGTCCAACGTAGTAAGTTTACAAGCTGCTAGTACGTATTAAAACATAATCTGAATGCAATTTAACACGCTGCGATTGTAAAATTGCATTCAAGTTATGTTTTAATACATACTAGCAGCTTGTAAACTTACTACGTTGGACGTGAAGCAAATTATTTCCAACGTCCGACGTTGTAAATTAACAACGGAATTTTTTAGAGTGTGTCTCTCTCTTACATTCAACGCCTGGCCCGACATTTGAAGCACGAGCGAAGAGAGTGCTTCTGGTCGGGGGCAGGCACGAAAAAAAATGTGAAAGATAAATTTATTGATTTATTTATAATAATACACGGACAACAAAGTAAATTAATATTATATTCTCAAAAGAATTTTTTTGTTCGTACAAAATTAATTTTATATTTCGTAAATTCTAAACGTTTCTAGTAAACAAAATGTCGTTATTTCTTTAAATTATTAAAATTTTATTATAATATTGTGGCACGTATAAAAAAATAAATTATAAAATCTTCTTGTTAATTTTTATTCTCGTTTTATATATTAAAATAAAAAAAATTCGTTAAATTTTCTTGGACTCACAATTTTCTTATTTACCGACATTGATATTTTTACCGACAAAGAATTCTTTTACTCCCACTGTAATAGAGGGCGTGTGTGTATATCAACCAAAGCGTAAATGTTTGACTTTCTGCTGCGAAGTCTAAGCGGGAAGTACGTACTTTCGACCGAGGTATAAAGAAAACATTGTTTGTAGTATTTGCTCTCCTACTATGGTAGACATAGAATTTGTTTGCGAGAAATGTCAAAATAATTTTCATGAGGATGTTTTTCATCTTTAAATTCTACTAATTCAAAATTATGTAATTTTTGTATGCAAGAAAAAACAATTCGAACAACTAGAGCAATTTCTCGTCAAAATATGGTTATTTACTATTTAATTCAGTTCTAAATTGTTCTAATAAAATAATACCGTCAAATCTCTATAATTTATGACCTTTATTAATATAATATAATATAATATATATATTAAAAGAATAACAATTTTTTTTATTTTAGCAATTTCAAAAAAGTATATATACATCTGCATTTTTCGTTATTCAAATTTACATACAAGTAAATTAGCATATGATGTACATAGTGTCATACTATTGTGTCTAATGAACGGATGCATTGGCACTGATTACTAATATATATATATATATATATATATATATATATATATATATATATATATATATATATATATTGTAAAATAAATAAATGCTATAATTCAAAAAATTTCTCTATCTTTCAATCCTGTACTCATACTTTTATCCATTTTACATATATATTATATTTTATTTTTGTTATTATTATTATCTCAGTTATCCATTATTACTATACCTATACTATTACAATACCAGTAAGTTTTCGTTTTCAGAGCATAATTTTATAGAAGATTTTATTGTCTTATAAAGAATAGAATGAGTTAATATATTTTAGAAAATAAATTGTCTTTTGCAGTAATGAAATAGGGGTACACTGGTAATTTTAACCGGTATTGTGTTATTTTACATATTTATTATTGTTTTTTTTACACTTACACTTACTTACTTGAAGTCCTTTTTTATTTAAATGTGTTTTCTTTAACTCCTTAGGTACTTTTATTTATAACATTAATATTAAACAATAATTAAATTTATTAAAATTAAAGTAAACCAAGAATAATAATTAATTTTTTTGTTTTTTTACAGAACAAGGTCAAAATACGAGTAAAAAGAAAACGACATTTTCGAGACTTCTGCGAGGGTTGAAGACGCATAAAAAAGAGAAACAGGGTCAAACACAGAGTTCGCCGAAACATAATCGATCCAGAATGGGAGTTCCTCAAAGGGTAAGTTTTAATTTCGTTACACAGAAAAAAAAGTCTTAAAACTGTGAAGAGCTAATTTTAAAATCAGGCTTAATTTTAGTCTGTAACGATATTTTAGCCTCATAATTAACTTAAGAGTATTGTTAACACGCCTTAATCTTAAAGCAATAAATATTTATGACTTAATTTTATATGTGAGTCTTAAATGTAGTCTCAGCGAGACTAGTAGAAACTTTAAGAACTCAACAGATAAAATGAAGTCGAAATGTAGACTAGTTTTTAGTCCCCTAGCGTCTATAGTCCTCTGGAAGGGGAGACGCGCTTGGGCGTGATCAGGTGACGTGTCATTAGTTGTCGTGGCGTTGCCTTGAGTGTACGTGTTTCCTTTATCTGTTAATCACCTATAGATTTTCATATTTTTGTGTACCGAATAAATAAAATAAATAAATAAATTCATTGCTACAATATTATTCAGAGAAAAAGTTGCGCAGTAAAAATCGAAAAGTATCGAAATGCTTATACAAAATGGTGACTTTTATATATTGTTACAACTCGTTTATATTTATACATAGAAGATAAATTTAAAACAAATATGTATGAAAAGTTTTTATTATATTATGTGCAAGCATAGTTACACTGAACTGAAATGAATTTGATTCAATTAACCGATTTCTTGTCTATTATTAAATAATGACACTTATAAGGTACATGTTAACAAATGTCATCATGAAAGTAGATGAAAAATTAAACCTCAATAATAAAAGAATAAATAAATAATTTCATTTTATTATTTTAAATAGCTAATTTAACTTTTCTTACAGATGCTTATATTACAATCTGTTACCGGCATCTCCTGATATAGTTAATAACTATAACTTTATATTCAATAGAAAAATAAATTTGAACTGTATTATTTACTACTTTTAAGTATTTAAGAAAGCTTTATTTTAGTCACTATATTGACTTGCGAGTAAATTGAAGTTTAAAAGGAAACTACTTTTAAGTCCACTTTTTGGCTATCGGCTATTTTTAAGACTACATAGCGACTTCATTCAAGCCTGAGTACCGACTTTTTTTAAGACTCTTTTTACAAACTAATTTTAAGTCTAGGATGACTACTTTTTGTTACATCTTAAAATTAGCTCGTTTGTAGACTTTATTCAAGACTTATTTTTTTCTGTGTACAATTAAATAGGGGAAAGGACACTAAAATGGATATGGTTTCGATTTAATGTTTTAGAATCCAAACTCAATAAGATAAGATATATATTATAATGTAAAGTGCCGAATGAAAGTATAATATTAGTTTATTAAAATTAGAATAGTTTTGTTTAGAAAAAATAATCTAATAAAAAAACTATAAATAGTTTAAAATGAAAAATTTTTTAATGTTTATTTTTGAAAACATTTTATTTTACACACCTTTTAATAAAAAAATATTTAAATATGAATCGGTTCTAGTAGAATTTGTCGTAAATTTGTTACGTGTAATTTGACGTTGTGACGCTATAGTTGTTGCATACCATACTAAAATGTTGGCAGTAAATTTAAAATCAGAGTTCGAAATAGCGAAACAATCGGTATATATGCGTGTGTATGTATAGTAAAGGCAAACGAAATAGTAATTTTGAACCTATCCACGAATTTAAAAGCTTTTATTTATTGAATCTCCGTGTTCAAACAATGCAACTCAAAAACCGTCTCTAATTTTTTTTAGGTACGATTATCTTTCAAATGTTTACCTTTTTAAGCAAATAATTTTTTTAGTATAGAATTCTTATTTAACTGAAAAAGTTTAAATCTAATTTGATAAAATTTCCTTCTCTACAAATTCCGATTATAATTACTTATTTCATATCCTAAAATGTATTTGTTTAAGAATATCTATACTATAATCTACAGTCTTTTTAGAGACAGAGAAATTTTTTATGTCAAGAAAAATAATTCAATAACGTTTAAAAAGATTTTTTTTCCAAACCTAGAAAAGTTTCCTCTCTCTTAGAAAATGCAGATATATCGTATATTTTGCGTATCGCAAACCAATTTCGTATACTTTACGAGTGCCCACACGTACGTATTTTACATGCTCGGTGGAAGGCGTACGTGCTTCCAGCAAAATAGCGGGGAAATTGTAACTCACGCGAGATAGGTACAAAACGAAAGCCGCAATTGGAAGCCTTGTGAGTTTTATGTTGTGCAAAAAAAACCGCGAAAAAAACTTCTCCCAATGTTAAAGAACCATTTGCCTTCGTGTGTAAAAAAATTTGGCCTAATTTGAAACATTTTTTCTTAATTTTGCATTTTTATTAACAGCACCCTGAGTATTTAAATTTAAAATCTACGTTTAATTAATGTTTACCCACGCACAATGTAATTTACACTTTGACACAATGTGAAGAAAAAAGAAAACATCCTAATGGGAAATTCCAGTGTAGTGCCGACGCTTACCACAGGCTTGGTACTCAGCCGATTGTTCGGCCGCAGTTTAACCGAGCCTCGACAAATAGTGCTGGCGCAGCCTCGTGAGCAATTTTGTTTATTTTCATAGATTTGCGATATTTCTAGATTTTAATCATTAGGTACTAAAATATGAAAATCTAATACGCTCATACTGCAATTGTTGTAAATTATTTAATTTTTAAATGTTATAAACAATTTTTTTCTACTTTATTTACTATATCCATTGCTAGGTCTTCATCTTGAATACAATTAAATCAAGAAGAGGAATATTTTATGAGTAACAACTGTTTATCAATATTATTTACCGGTTTGTTGTTAAATTATTTATAATTATTAATTTACAGCTATATATAACAATACGGTATTTATTGCGGCTATGTTCTCAGTCAAAACTGGTCCAGTGCTGCGCCAGCGCTGTCTGGCAGCACTGACAGGAAGTATTCGCCAACGCTAGACAGCGTTATGCCAGTACTGACAGTGCTGGCGCAGTAATTCGTCAGTTGTAAATTTCCAATACGGAAATGAAAAGTTGAAAATAATTACAAAAAAAAGTAACGAGCAGAACAAAAAAGTATAAAAATTAAAGAATAATTGCGAAGGGAAAAGAACCGTTTTAAAAATTCCTCACTAATAATACATAAAAGATATTGAAAAAATTTTGTCTTGACCTTTCTAAATGAAATGTTTCTTGAATTTTTAAAAAGTAAAACAATAGGGGAGACTGGGGTAAACCCGCTCACTAGCGATTTGACTCTATGAACTCAACTTAAGATGGAGATATTGTTACTGTGTATAGTACTTAACATTCAACTTATATTAACGAACTTTCGTTTAGTTTTATGAATTCAACATAGAATCAGAGGCGATCAAATGTTTTTAGAGGTGTCAGAAAAAAAACGTTTTTTGGATTTTTAAGTTTTTCGATCATTATTTTTGAGTCTTAATTTATTTGACAAATTTTTTTTTTGCTATTGGATGTCCTTCTTCAAAGTACATTTATATAGTTTTGCCTTATTTCAAAAATATTTAATCAAATTTATTCTGAAATGTGAGGAATACACTCGGGGTAAAGTCGCTCACGTGAAGTCGGGGTAAAGACGCTCACTTGGTTTAAAATTAAAAATTTTGAATAACATAATTTCACGTATTATATTTTAACAATAACAAAATTTATGACTTGTTAAAACCAAAATTGTAACTATATTTCACTTTCTCTTAATAAAATATAACATTATTTAAATCCACAGTTGTAATTCATGAAACCTATATTCATTATTTATTAAACCAATTTGTTGTTTATACAATTGTTTATAGAACTCACAGTTTATCAATAATAAATCATATTTAAGACGGGAATAAGACGAATTTTAATATTTAAAAAATAAAACTGTTCCGTCTTGAAAAGATAAAGTGAGCGGGTTTACCCTGGAAAATTGTGATTTCGAAATTTGGTATATGTGTATTAAAAAGTTTCTCTAAGTAAAACTAAAAAAGATAAATCAAAAACTCTTTTTTATTTTTTTTAGTAGAAATCATAAGCTTTCAAATGATATAAATTAACTTGGATGTAAAGAATAATTTCCTAGATTTTTACCGATCTGAAAAAAGTGAGCGGGTTTACCCTAGTTTCCCCTATTATTTTTATTTCCAAAATAAAATTTTTTTCGAAATAATTTACTATTTTATTATTTTGCTTCCTCATAGAGGAAGGATTGTATTAGCAAAATTTTCGATTGTGATTTTTTGACATAGGATTTATAAACTTTTTTTCATTATACCTAATCTTTTAGTACTTTATGCACGAATGGGCATTGACCGTATAAATTTTATAAATAAATAAAAAAAAATTTTGTTGTAATTTTATCTCAGAAGTCCAAAAAACGGATTTTAAAAAATTTTCCTGATGTGTGTGTGTGTGTGTACTAACATTGCATTTGCCTCAATATCTCAGAACGAGAAAGAGCTAAATGCGTCAATTTCTTTTACATTGTAGGTCTCCCCGGGGGACATAAAATGAGAGTATTTTCAGCCCGATTCATAAAGTTTAACTATATTTTTTTTGCATTTTTCATTTTGTTAAAAAAAAATTTTTTGGCCATACTTAAAAAAATGTTAGGACACCTATAAATGTTTTTCTTTAGTTTTGTAGAGTTTTTTCAGACGCATCTTTTGAGCCTTCATTGAACATTTTTCGTCTATATTAGCCAGAGATATTAAAGTTTTAAAAATCTAAATTTTTCGAAAATAACACTTTTTTGAAAATTTTGTTGAAAAATATAAAAGTAACTTTAAAAGTATCATTATCAACTTGTAGATAATTAAAAAACGCTTCGAATGACTTATTTTTGAACCTGATTCGGTCAGAAATTATAAAATTATTGGTATTTGAAGAATCAAAAATTGTGGAAAATATTATTTTTTCAACATTCTTGTTTATTAACTTATGTATAATTATTAAACTATTATAACCATCTTATAGAATATATAAAAACATAATCTTTGGACCAAGATTCAATGATTTTTAACTCTTTTATAAAAATTAATTCTTATATTTCAATTAT